TCCAGGTGGCTGTGGGGTATTTGCTTACAACGGCTACTGCTGGTTTCCCTGAGAACTGTTTATTTTTCCAGGCCTCAGGTCATTACATCACCCCGCGGTTTCTGGGCAGGCCAAGAGCGCTGGTTAGGGGGGTGGGGGATCCACCCAGGAGGGGCTGTTGCCTCTGTGACCCTAAATCCCAGTCCTGGCCGCAGCCATCCCGGCAGGAGCATCCAGGTAAGGGAGGAGTAACCCAAAACACACCTAACGGGCCCCAAGCAGACCAAGAAGAGCACCGTGCTGACACCAGCAGGTCAGGACAGGATGCTGTAAACAGCTTTCTTGTGGTGTGGATGGGGAGCGAGGCAAACACTCTCACATATGAGGGACACACTGCCGTGGCAGAACTTATTTTCCGCCTTATGTCCCGGCTGACGGCTTGTCTCCAGGGAGCAGAACTACCACCAGCTGCTGCATTCACAGATGAACAGAAGGAAGGTCTGCCCGGCAAGGAGGCCAGGAAGCAAAGGCATCGTCCTTTTGGATATAAGCCCCAGTGCCAGGTTCTGAAATCTCATCAGATCGTGAAAGAAATTAACTAGAAAAGATGGAGATAAAGGAAAGAAAGAGAAGGGAAGCCAAAAGGCGCCACCAGAGGCCACAAGGGGGGCAGAGGGAAAGGGCCTTCTGACGTTCCTTGAGGGCATTGTTTGCACAAAGAATAAAGGTTCACGGACCACATTTCCTGAGAGATAGTATTTTCCCGGAGGAGAAGGCACAGAACTTTGTCCTACAGAAAAAAGAAAAAAAAGACTTTTATAAATCACAGCTGGAGGAAAGTGTCTGCCTATAGTAGAATTAGAAACAGTAAGATACAAATTAAGAATGAGATGAAGCCTCATTTTTGTCATTTCCCTAATCTTTTTACTCTCTTCTGTAAGATACAGATGATTATAATGTTTTACAATTCTAGTTATGCTAAGAAATGCCTTCCTTGGTCACTAGCTCCTAATTAAAAAAAAAAACTACATCAAGAGTTTCTGTTTCCTTATAAAAGCAGAAAAAGAGCCTCGGGCCAACACTCGAAGAGCAGAAGATGCTCGCCCTCCAATTGTAGGGTGTTCGCCGCCAGGTATGTTGTCTCCCTGGTCACAGGAGAAACTCCCGGTGCAATGGAGGTGAGAAGTTGAACAGGCAAACCTGCTGATGCTGACCCTGCCGGGTACTCAGAAGGCAACACTGACCATGATGAACACATGACAAAGCCTTAAAAACAAGGACCAAAACCTCCAGGAGGAGGGAAGGAGACAGGATAAGTCTGCAGGCATGTGTGTCATGTTATTGCAAAACTTCAGCTGCCCAGTGGAACCTTTCCAACGTCAACAGTCTTCAGGCCAGAAAACAAACCTGGCGTCACAGGGTCTGAGTGTGAAAGAAGGATGTTTGGGGTGTAAAAGAAACTGGGATGGCCTTTTTCCCTCTGAGAGAGAGCTGAGAAGAGCTCTCACCCCGTCGGCTCTCAGAGTCTACTCCAGCCTTCCCAGAGGAGCAGGCGGCAGCTTTTCCGGACCCAGAATCTTCCGTCAGACTCTAATGGCAACCACCCCAGAGGCCTGACCCACAGGCTCCAGTCCGTACCAGAGCTGGCTACCCAGGCTCGAGTTACCATTCAAAGTATATCTGACTTCTCATCAAACCCAGTGAGATCATGTGAAAAGTGGCTAGCACAATGCATAAAGATATTCCATTGAATTTTTAAAAAAAAATAATTAATGTGTACCTACTATGTGTCAGGCATTTGAGATAGATTGCTGAATTCTCAGAAAAAATCCAGCAAGGCTCTAATGACTTTAACAAATAACTAAGGAGACCAAGGCTCAGGGTAGTTCATAAATTTCCCAAGGTCTCCCAGCCTCTCGGTGGAAGGCCAGCATCAGAAGCCAGGTCTATAGGTTTGCCTGATACCAAAGCCTGTGCTTTTGCCACTACATGGTTTATTTCTTCCATATACAAAAGATTCCCTACCCCCCGCCTATGAAAGCCAAGCCTTGGGATGCTTCCTTGGCAACCCAGTTGTGAGAGCGTGCACAGAACAGGACGTCAAGGCATGATGATCGTATGAGATGGAAAGTGCTACGTGAGCTGCCTTAAGAGCTCTGTGCTATGCAGGCTTCCCGGGGGTACGTCAGGAAGCACTGCAGGAGGCACAGCCCCTATGTCTATGAAAAGGGCCCAAAACGTGAGAAAGACACTCCTCTACACACACTCCCACCAAATACCAGGGGCCAGCAAACTTTTTTTCCATAAAGGATCAGATCATATTTTAGGTTTTGCAGGTGAGATTGTCTCTGTCACGATTATGCAGCTTGACCGTTGAAGTACAGAAACAGCCATAGACAGTATGTCCATGAATGGATCTGGCTGTGTTCCAATAAAACTTTATTTGCAAAAACAGGCAAGTGGTCATTTGCCAACCCCTGTTATGTGCCTATGTGTTTTTGTGTCCCTCACACATAATTACATCAAAAAGATTGACAGGCACTCAGTCAGTATTACCACTTGATCATGATGGAGAAAACCCCTAATTTATTAGAATATGCCTATGGTATTGATCTCTGATAATGATCCCTGGCCTCGGTTTCTCCCAGGGGACTTTTAGCTCTCCCCCAGCTATCCTGTCCTAGACGCCAACCTTTCAGACATAACTTGGTACTGCCAACCAGGGAAAAGTAAAGGTGGCTGGGTCCCTCCAACAAAAGGAATGTGGTTGTACCTGCCTGGAAATAATTTCTCAAAATGACCCCATATTCACCCAAGGGAACTAGACAAGGGAAGAAGAAACAGAAAGCAGAAGGACTTGAGTGGAAGCAAATGTCATCACACTTGACATCGCCACTTGACTCGACACAGAGACTCTCGCCCACGAAGAGAGGCACTCTGTCCCCAAAGAGAAATTGTTTTCTCTAGCCCCTCCACTTACTAGCTGTGACCCAGGACAAGTTACTTCCTCTCTCTCAGCCTGAGGACAAGATGAGGACAATAAGCTCTGTAAAATGGTGACAGTAACAATACTTACAGAGTTCTGGTGACGCTCAATGAGAAAACACATAGCTGATACGGACCAGCTGTGATGATGCTGATGATTCTGACTTTACTGATGATGATTCTTCTCCTCCATCCTTCCCCAAAGTAATCAAACACACTGAACTAGATTCTCTAATAAATATAATAGGCAAGAAAGCCCTTGCCTTCACAGAGCATGACCCAGGTAGAGAAATTAATCACTGGTAGGTGAAGAAATTCATGAAAGTAATTGCTCAGTTGTCAAATGAGTGTTTCAGGGAAAAAGTGCTGAATAATTTCAGAGAGAACTCACCCTCCTATCCATCCCTTGGTCACCGAATGAGAATTGAGCCTCATACAGAGGCTTTGCAGACTTACCGGGAGCTCAGGAAATGCGGGGACCTTTTGCAGATGTCACTTCCAGATACTCAGGCACCCAAACTCTTTCTCTTTGATTTATCACATTTGCCTAACAGTGAGGGGGGAGTGGAGGAAGGTTCTAAGAAGCAGCTTCCTAATGGATGCTTTTTGCTTAGGGTGACAGTCATAAATTCTTTCCTGATTGAAAAATTCTCACCATAAAAAGCATTATCGTAAATATTCCCATTTTTCCTACCATTAATGATGACACCAACAAATACAATTGTACTTACAATTTATTATGCACTCACTGTTTATCACTCAGCCAGGCACTAGTTAAGTACCATACAGACATTAACTCAGTTAACCTTTACTCACTGTTCTTTAAGGGAGAGATCATGATCCCAGTTGAGGACTGAAGCTCCTGGGGACAGGGTGGGGGCAGGGAGGAGAGGTGGCTTTGATTTGACTGGGTCACTCATTAAGTGTTGGAGCCAGAGAGTGAACCCAGCTTTTGCTGATTCCAAAACCAGTGCTTTAACCAGGCACTGTTCTATCAAAGACTCTGGCCCATGGGACTTTACGTGGTTTCCTTCCCACCTCATCACCCCACACCTCCCCCAGCTTTTATCAAACAGAGAACCAGACACATGCTGAGGTACTGACAAGCTCAAGTCACAGAGAAAATCAGCCAGTGCTGTGTGGATTCATCTCGTGGTCTAAACCATTCCACACACTCTGGTCCCCACCACATTTAGAACAGAGCAGGTACACCATACAGATAAACTGAAAGGGGACCAAAGACAGCACACTCATTAATTAATGGTCATGCAAAACTCTGCCCACTAGTTGAAGAGAATGTATCTTTAGTTTACAGTCCTCACTATCTATCAGGAAAAGATGATACGGCTAAATCCAACAACCAGACATAAATATGCCAAGCGGCATATCTCTCAGTGAAGTCTGAGGCTGAAAGAAGGATGACTTCCCCCAACCCCGACAGAGATACAGATGGGGTCTGTTAATACATTTTCTTGTTGAAGGACAGCTGGTCTTTGTTGATGGTAAATGAACTTCATCAACTTTGGTCTTCATTGATGGTAAATGAACTCTACAATTAAATCCTACAAATCTAATCACACTTCAGAAGTTACCACCTTTCCAGAAGGGGTTCAGCCAGTACCAAAACCTGAACACTCACAAGACCCTCAAAAGAGCAGACCAGAAAAGACATAATTGTAAGCGGCTATTTAGAGCCTTAAAAACACATAGAACCAAGGCTCTTAAGATTTCAAGTCCAACTTCTCTATGTCCAGCTATTCTTCTTTCAAATTCTTCTGCATGGTATATAGAAGGTGAATTGAAATATACAATCAAAATGTTTTTGGCTAAGATGATCAGCTACTCATGAAAGCGGATCCCAGAGCACTTACTTGAAGACAAAGTTGGAAGGGATCTCACTCATCTCATTTTACAGCTGTTGAAGAAACTGAAGACCAAATTGGTTAAATGACTTGCCGAAGCCCACACAGCATTGGCAACCGTGTGGCAACCATGGGTAGGGCAGGTGTGCACGTGATCCAGCAAAGGACATTTACCTGAATTTCTTACATTGGTGGTGTTCAGTTTGGAGTCCTTGATTACCAAGTGCTTAATCCACAGAGTGGGAGCTGTGATTTCTGGGAGAAAAAAAAGGAGAGAGAAAATAAAGTCTGGGCAAAGAGAACATATAACTTGGAGTGTAACCTCCAGACTTTTTAATAGCTTTATAAAAAGACTGAGGCATCTAAACTTGAGCTATGTCCCTCATTCCATACCCACTTTGTCCCAACGCCCTCATGCTTCCTCACTATGGAAGCCCCTCTCTCCATCAGCTCATAGGAGCCAACCAGGGCCTCCTATGCTGGGAGGCAGAGTGGTCCGAGTCTGGAGGCACTGAGCCACTCCATCCAGGAATAAAAATATTATCCCAGGAGGTGAGGAGCACAGGCCAAGCCAAGTCTCTCTCAGCTGCTTCCCTGGAGGAAGATTTAAAGGGGATAAATCAACAAATGAACGCCAAACAAACCACAGAGACCATTTTGGAGGAAACAGCTGAGCCACAACAGATTTTAGCTTTCCGAGACTCGGCTCCACATGGGAGAGAGGGTAATGGGTCTAATGTGTGTTTCCATCCCCTTTCTAACGGTTCCTCATTGAACAGTCTGAATTCCTCCATCCAGTGAGCTCCAGGGGGTCTCCATGCTCCCCAGGGCTTGGGTCACCCAGTGAACAGGTGCTGTGGAAATCTGACAGTGGCCCTGAACACACTGTAGAATGACAAGATATTCAGGGAGAGTGTCTGGAAGGTCTTCCAAGCTGATATGGTCTCCATTTCCCACCCGATCTTCCCAGGTCCCATACTTGCCAATGATCTAGGACATTTGTACATCACAGAAACATTTGACCTTCTAGGCATGAACATACATAAGTTCCACTATGTGACCAGCTGCAAAGGCTATCTCACATTTCTATCTAGAACCAAGCCTGGGTGAGGGACATCCTTAGCCACAGTACCAACCAGTGGCATCATTTCTTCTTACTCCTCTGTCTCACTGTCCAGTCTTATGATCCAAGGCTGGATGTACTCGGCTGAAAGCTACTAAAGGGTTGGTGTATATTGCACTGAGCACTAAACCTTATTGTCAGACTTTCTAGAAACTGTACCCTGCCAAGCTTCCTGCTCCTCCTCTTAGAACTGGGAGTACTCAGCAAAGCACACTGAAGGATACGGACTCCTAGTAGCTCAAACTCTAATCGAAGCCAGCCACTTGCACCAGACTCCTTCTACCTTCTCCTCATACCTCTCGAGATATCAACCTCTCTCGTACCACCAACCATCACTACTTCTCTTGACCTAGAATTTCTCCTCTCGCAAATATCTTGACTCAACTCTCATGGTCCCTACAACTTAGCCAAACCAGTTCCGCTCAGCAGTCTCTTTCCCCTCCTTTTGTCACTGTACCCCGTGTCCACCATACTCTTTCCTTTTTCCACGCCAGTCCCCCGGTCAGGAACTCCTGATTTCTGCCCCTGCATTTCCAAGATCCAGCTCAAGTTCTCTCTGTTCACACACTCTTTTCCCACACCATTGTGGTCCCTTTCTTCCATAAATGTCTCTTACAAAAAAACAAAAACAAAAACAAAAAACTGAGACCATATAATCTCATATGTAAAGCTCTCCAATAGCTGCTGCTCTCTTGAGAGCAAAGGCTTCCATCTCATCTGTGTCTCCTTCATCCCCCAGAGGCCTCGCACAATGCTGGGCACAGAGCACTCCAGGAACTTTTAAGTGCTGATTTGTTTAGAATAAGGATGCTGCCGGCCTGACTGTCTCTCTCAGCCATGGCTCCTTGGTCTTGGCAGCTTGCAGGGTCCATCCAGGCTCTGTTATTGTTGGCCACGAGCAGCCAGGCAGGAAGCCTGGTGAGAACAGAGGCCTTTTCCAGAAGTGGAGAGTGTACTAGTTCCTGGGAGGGTTTGCATTTTTTAAAAGGTTAAAACAACCCAGCTGAAACTGGGGAAAAATTGAAATTAAAAAAGAAAATAATAATAATAGTAAAGCTTACACAAACATCTGAAGGAAAGACCTTCCCCAAAGCTGAAAACGGGTGGGAGAATTCGAATCTGAAGTGATACAAAAGCTTACCATCTCCATCGAACACCGGCTGGGTCTCCATCGTGGGTGTCGGCTTAGACCCGTCATCTGAATTGAGGGTTAAAAAGAATCGAAAAGAGACTACCATTATTGAGGTAAATACTATCTACTCTCCAGCACTGTTGAATGGTTGGGGTTTGCACATGGCCCGGCCAAGTCCCAAGGAACAGACCGAAGAGAAAGAAAAGAAAGAAGAAAGGGACAAGAAGGAAGAGAGAATCACAGAGAGACACCAACAGCAAGACAAACCCAGGTGTGTGCTCGCCACCCCACGGAAGGGAGCCAAGCTGTCATGGCTCCGGAGGACTCATCGCTCTGAGTGACCCCAGTGTGACTCTGTTAGCCCTTGTTCTTTCTCCAGGAAGGCAGGGAGGGCTGCCTTCCCCAACAGCCCCGAGTTCCCTCCAGGCATGTTAGGAAATGTGGCATCAAGCTCTGATGTCCCCAGCTCCTCCCTGCCCCCTTGTGAAAGGTACCAGCCCAGTATCTTTCTAGTGGCGCTGATGGAAGAGCTGAGGGGAACCAAGAGACCAGGGTGCCATTCCCTCCCAAACTCCCACCGATTTCTCCACCCTCATCTAAAAACAGTGTGAAGGCAAGCACCATTCTCTCTCCAGCACGCTGAACTGCAATGCAAAGAAGTGGGAATCCTTGGAACACTTTTAACTGTGAAACAGCATGCACCCCAGTTCCCAAGGAGAGATGGAGGCAAACAAAATGGGATGGAACATGAGTAACTGCACCCTGGATTTGCTTTGAAATTTCTAACACAGGTCACTAGAGCAGGGAGCTCTCAGTAACAAAGTCCTAACACTTACGGCCCTAGAAGTGTTGGCAGCTCTCTCTGCAGAACTAGAACCTCTGCAAGTCAGAGTAAATGCAGACTTTATATGCCTTTCAGGACTCTTGAATTATGTCCATCAAGATCCCCAAAACCTGAATTTAGAACAGTGTTTCTCAACTTTTAAAAGAATTATTGCCCAAGGAAGGAGAATTTTTAGACATTTTTCCCTAATCACTTTCCTAATGAAATTTTAATAGCAAAGATACACTGTGTATCTGTTTATGTATTGTATGCATATCCGTGCTCTAGATGTAAAAATAACAAGGATTCTTTTGTGCCCCAGGAACCAATTTTCACCTCCTTGGCGAAAGCCAGGAGCAGGTATCTTTACCTGTATTGAGAATGCATAGGTCAGAGATTTTTCGGTCTTCTCCATTGGCAGGGGCAGGGAAGGAGTGCGCTGTGGTCTCAGACGCTGTGGTCACACAATCTCTTCCACCCAAGACCCCTAGAGATCTTTTAGAACTGAACACTATTCTCCACCCATTAACTATTTACAGAGAATGCAAGGTCTCAGATAGTCTGCAGCACCAGTCAGACCATCAATAGTAACAGCCTTCACCGTTTGGAGCTCCCAGAACTTTTGGCCAACTTCCCTGGGTCTTATCAGGGGAGGGAGAAAGAACACAGAGTCCTGATCCCTTTCTTGTGCCAACACCCTTCCCTTGGGATCTTAAGATTCGAGAGCTATGGAGACCCAAACCCTGGCTGGAGGCTGAGGCCAGCAACCTGTCAGTTGTGTGACACCTGAGCCTGCTGTTCTTCTCTGTGTCGACCAGGACCCAGCTCCCACAAGGGCCACGGAGATCCTGAACTATCCGACAATCATCCCCAGAGATGAGATGTAGCAGGAAGAGAGGAGCAATGATGCTGAATATCTTATTTGCCTCTAACTGGAGTCCAGAATGGTCATCTTTTGATTCCAAACTCTGTAAATTTGATCTGGAAGTCATTGAGGGAGAATAAACACAGAGTGGAGCCACACAATGTCATTTTTTAAAATAGCATCACTTTCCTGACTCTATTAACACCTCTTTCCATTGAATTCAATGAACCACTGAATGAAGTCTTTTGGCAGCTGCAGAGCCCATTTGGTTGCCCTTGCCGGATGCAGAGTTCACGATATAAATAGCCCAGCACAGCGTGCTCAGCCCCTCCACCCAGGGTGGCTTCATTTTTGGACTCTTAAGGTAACAGAGGGAGAGTGAGAAAATCAAACATTCCCAGAGGGACAACAGTGACAAGCCAAGTGCCAAATGGCTTATAGGATATTTTAATATTCAGTGAAAGTCCTCCCATATTCCAAGAGCTGTATCTCTCTCTGGAGCGGGACAATACAAAATATTCTGTTCATTTCTCCCATCAGCCACATGAGAGTCTTGCACTGAGCATCTGGTCCAGCATTCAGCAAAGAAGTCGGCTGCTGGAGGAGAGGAAGGAGGGGGTGCAGGCTCCCTGGGGAAGTTGTGCACTTCTGCAGGTTGAGGACCTCCACGATTGCCCAGATGCAGACCCAGAAGCCCACCTAGCATGAAGCTGCGTGCAGGGAGTGAATCTTTCTGCCGGGTAGGGTCACCGAGGGTGAAGACATACAGCTGCACGGCCACAATGGAGGCCCTAGATGGAACTCTTTATGAAGTGAGAAAAGACAAGGTGCGCTGCTGCCAGGAGAGCCACCTGTGAAATCCACGATGCCCAAAGGATGAGAAGCCAAGCCAAAGCCAACAGGACCCTCTGACCATCATCTCCGGGCACCTGGGCACCTGGCTTCCAACCCAGCAAACAAGCGCACCCTTCTACTGAACACAGGTCCAAGGCCTGGGTCCAAGGTCCACATCAGGCCTGCTTCCTGGCAAGCCTTAGGACAACAGCAGGCCCCACACTGGGCCCTGGGGAGAGAGAAAAGCTTCCACATGTGCCCTTGGCCTCCCAGTGGGGTCACATCCCAGTTCCCGGCTTTACATCCATTAAGTTGGGTAACCTGAACCCCTCACTTTTCTCCTCAGGGTGGTGGATATCCTCTTCTAAAAATGAAGGATGGTTGCCTCCCCAGCCTCAGGACACTGTGCAGCTGTAAAAGACTTCAAAGGCCTCTTAAAGAAGGTATAATACTATGAGCGTTAAACCATCTTATCCAATTGCTTTTCTTTTCATTGGATTTGCAGAATTAAAATCCCACAAAGTTTTAAAATAAAAAATAAAGTAAACTTTACAACTCAATAAGAAGACAAACAACCCGATTTTGAAATGGGTAAAATATTCTAATAGACATTTCAAAGATGCATGGACAGTTAATAAATACATGGAAAAATGTTCAGCATCATTAGTTGTTAGGAAAACACAAATTAAAACCACAGTGGGATAACACTACATCCCTACTAGAATGGCTAAAATTTTTACAATAGACACTGTCAAGTGTTGATAAAGATGTGGAGAAACTCAAACCCTCATTCATTGCTGATGGGAATGTAAAATTGGGCGATCACTTTGGAAAAGAGTTTGGCAGTTTCTTTAAAAAGTTAAACATAAACTTACCATTCATCCCAGAAATTCCACTCCTGAGAATCTATCCAAGAAAAATAAAGATATATCCACCCAAAGACACGTAGGTATACAAATAAATATTCATAGCAGCATTACTCATGATACCCTCAGACTGGAAACAGTCCAAATGTTCATCGGCTGGTGAAGATATAACCAAGTTGTGACGTACCCATACCATGATGTGTTATTTAGCAATTAAAAGGAATGAATTACTGTTAGATGTAACAATATGGCTGAGCCTCAAAAACATTGCCCTGAACGAAAGAAGCCATGCACAAATACTACATATTGTATAATTCCATTTACATGAAACCCCTAATAAAGGCATATCTATACAGAGGGAAAGCAGATATGCAGGTGCTGAGGGCTGGAGGAGGGAGTGAGGTATAACCATAAGTGGGTACAAGGTTCCTCTTGGGGTGATGGAAATATTCTCTTGTTAATGGCTGCACATCTCCATAAATGTACTAAATTCACTGAATTGTATATTTACAATGGGTAAATGTTATGGTAATGTAATTATAGTTCAAGAAAGTTTTTAAGACAAAGCGAGGAGGGGGTGCCAAAGTCGTCACAGATAAATCATCAGGTGGCAGCAGCTGGATAATTTGCATGATCCTTAACTTCAGAGGAGACGCTTCCTTACTTCTTAAAGAAAAATACACCTGAATCTCAGTTTACACACACACACACACACACACACACACACACACACACACACACACACACACGATAAGTTCATGTGCATATATGCTTAGTCTTGGTGGTTCTTTTAGACCTCAAATAGTAAGACTTTATTTCTCTTTGGTACCATAATATTCTCCCAGACTGAGGAGAAGAGGCTAGAACACTGGGAAAAACCCAGTTCAAAGATGATTGTTTCTCTTACAGGGAGAAAAGTAAAAAGTAAACTTGGAAACATTAAAAATAAATAAATGAGGCAAACCTGAGAGAATCTCTCAAGGATGATGTCCAGAACAACAACAGAAAGTGTTACTACATTTTGCGACCCTCCAAGTTTCTGGCAGGTGGCTTTCTTCAACTATTCTCAGCACCGGCCAGGGCAGAGGAAGTCACCAGACAGATAAAAAGAGATTGAGTTTCAGTGCAAGAAAGTGATTTGCTCAAGGCCCCAGAGGCAGTTGGATTCTGCCCAGCCAGAGAGCCGTGGCGTTTGGCCTTCCAAGATTCCCCAACCCCCAACCACGCCTCGTCCTTGCAGGTGCAGCCCCAGAAAGTCACAGCCCCCGCACGGGCTCTGTGAGCCTATACAGACAGTGGGTTTGTGTGACAGCACAATTCCTTGCCCTGCAAGAAGGTCTGGCCCACGCACAGACAGCTGGAAGTCACTTCGACCCCCGATGACACCGTTTCAAAGCCGCCTCTGTTTGGCTTTTTGATTTCTGATTGACATTCGCTGGCGAGTGGAGATAAATGCTGGGCTGAGGACAATGTTGATCTGCTCTGACTGTTCTCAGGGAAAGACTTTTCAGAATAACAAACAAAACAAAACAAAACCCCAAAAACATTGGTGTGCTTAAGGGACTGAATAGAGCCCAAGAGGTCCAAGGAAGCAGGGCCGGGCCTTTCAAGGGGCTGGCAAGTCCATTGAGGAGTTAATTGTTTGGGTGTACAATGAGTTTATTCTGACCACATACAAAGAGCTTTCTCTTCCAGGTCCTTCAAAAGCAAA